AAAGGCAGGACTGGATGAATCCCAAGCCAGAATTAAGATTGCCGGAAGAAATATCAACAACCTCCGATATGCATATGATACCACTCTGATGGCAGAAAGTGAGGAGGATTTTAAGAACCTCTTAATGAGGGTGAAAGAGGAGAGTGCAAAAATGGTCTGAAGCTCAAAAAAACCAAGATCATGGCCACGGGCCCCATCACCTCCTGGCAAATCGAAGGGGAAGATATGGAGGCAGTGACCGATTTTACTTTCTTGGGCTCCATGATCACTGCAGATGGTGACAGCAACCACGAAATTAAAAGACGCCTGCTTCTTGGGAGGAAAGTGATGACAAACCTAGACAGCATTTAAAAAGCAGAGACATCACCTTGTCAAGGTTTATCTAGTAGCAGTGTATGGAAGTGAGAGCTGGACCATAAAGAAGGCTGACCACCGGTGAATTGATGCTTTTGAATTGTGGTGCTGGAGGAAACTCATGAGAGTCCCCTGGACTGCAAGGAGAACAAATCTATCCATTCTGAAGGAAATCAACCCTGAGTGCTCACTGGAAGGACAGATCCTGAAGCTGAAGCTCCAATACTTTGGCCATCTCATGAGAAGAGAAGACTTCCTAGAAAAGCCTCTGATGTTGGGAAAGTGTGAAGGCAAGAGGAGAAGGGGATGACAGAGGACGAGATGGTTGGACAGTGTCATCAAAGCTCCCAACATGAATTTGACACAATTCCAGGAGGCAGTGGAAGATAGAAGGCCTGGCGTGCTCTGGTCCATGGGGTCACGAAGACCGGACACAACTTAACGACTAAATAACAACAAAAAGCTGTCCTAGTTAAAAAAGATGTACTCCCCAATGTCTTATTTGGGATTACAGCATGAGATGGTGAAGAAGTCAGGACAGTAGAAAAATAATTACTGTACACTAGATGCAGGACTATAATGCAGCTTATGAACATACATTTCCTATGTTCACATATTTCTCCTGAGCCAGAGACCTTTTTTTCTATTAGTCACATTTTTTTAAAAAAAAAATCTATCTTTCCCATCACTATTCATCACTGGGATTAAAATCTCTTTTAAAATTTTATTTGCAAGATAAAAAGGGTTATACTATTACTGAATTATAATGCAATATGATGATAAACCAGAGTCTCAGAAACAGCCAAATCCTTACCTTGTAACATTCCAAATTAACTATGCTGTATTGCAGTATTGTTGTAAATACACTTTTTTTACATTCTCATCTATATGTTCAAAAATTTGAGACTATTGTATCCTTATTTGCTTGGAGGCAGTATACTGGACCCTATAACAGCTATATTAAAATCTTGGGTTTCTTTGTATTTTACAAGCTTTGAAGGGGGCCTTCCTCAATATGTAACAAAATTTGGGTTCACAACACATCCAAACAATTTTGACATTCAAGACATGAGACACACACAAAAAAAATAAGTTTCAATATTTGCCCAGTGGGCAGCAATATATAATCCGAAACTGAATGTTGTCCATGGGTTCATTTGACAATTTATCCACCCTTCTCCCCACAATTATGTTCCAGTCATTAACATTTTTACTGGCTTTCCTAGATACATTTTCCTACATACTAATTAGGGTTTTGAGAAACCTGTTCCCTGAAATAGATGAACTGTAAATATTTCTGGTTTTAGGTCAAAAACTGCAAAATGGCTGAGAACACAGTAAGATTTACCAGGAGTGGTGCTGGAAGATCAGGGGCAAACACAGAGTTTTGCAAAGGGCTGTGAGTAATTTTTCACATCATATCTTCATCTGATACTCTGATTTATGTTGCTTTACATTACACCTTGTATTTGTCACTGCATTGTGTTCTGTCTGAAATTCAGTACCTCCTCTCATGGATCTTATTCCCTGTTTATCAGCTGTGACATGAAAGAAAATCTTCAAATCAACTGTACCCACAAGTCGCCTCCAGCCATGTTCCCTTATCCCCCCATTCAGTGGGACAAATACTGAAGCCAATTTTCTTCACAAGCTGGACTAACAAGTGCTATGGGGCTCTGAAATAAAAGACAGAAATGTATATATTCAGATATACACCTAACTAAATGTAATGGTACTTATACAATATCCCCAAGAGTACAGAGTTATAAACTAAACCGGTGGAAAACAAGTGAGCTTCCTGGGACCCGGCTAAAACAAGTTTTTTTTTTCTCTCTCACAATATTATTCTGCAGGGCAAATACAGAACTACAGTGAACGTCATTTCCTATAAACTACAACAAATCCACAGCTGGCCAGACTGGTTCTCAAGCAGCCTAAACCACCTACTGTATTTAATCTCTAAAGCCAGAGCCTCCTCACGCCCAAAGGCATCTTTTTTTCAATTTGCTTTTGGGATTAGCAACTCTTCTCTGACCAGCTAATCTGCTCCAGTTCATACCATGTCGGCTTCTTTTTTTAAACCTACATCGAGAGAAGCTACTGCTTATGCCTCACGCCTGTAACAATGCGATCCGCGTTTCCACCGAGCTAAGCCCGACTTCCTTTCAGGGTCGACGTTAAGCAAGTTACTATCCCTGTCCTCTGGAGAAACCGGCAAACGCTTCGCCTACATTGCAAAGCAACTGCCAGTGTGAAAAGCTACACCTATTTAAATAACTAGGGACAATAATATACAACGTTCTTGTTAGCCTGCGGAAACCAGCTACAGTACTCTTCTAACCCTCGTATTCTCGCCTCTAAATAGATACATAAATAAATAAAACTATCCTAGGCAGGATTCATTAGCGTTTTGGAGTCCTTCTCGGACTCTGATCACACACGATGGGAGTTTTCTCTCTCCTGCACCCTCCCTTTCCCTAACCTGTAAAGGCGGCGAGGCTAGGGAAACAGCTGCCCTTGCTCCCAGTCCGACCCACCTGGAAAATCAGCTCCAGTCATCGGCAAAATATACACTTAGCGCTCGTGTGCGCTTGCAGTGTTTAGCTTCCGCGCTCTGTCTAGTCCCTAACAGAATCTGTCCCACATTTTCGCTGCCATATTGAAAAGCAAATCAGGTGATCCAGGCGACTGGCGAAGTAACCGGCTTCCTCGGAAAGACGGACGCCATCTTTCTGTGGGGCGAGAGAAGCCAACCGCTGCCATTATGAGAGCGGGCAAGCGAAGCGTCTCTGCCCTCTCTTCCAGGGGAGACCTGGGGGGGGGGGACGAAACGTTCAGCTCCCTTGGTCTTCCTGAAAGGACGCGAGAGGTTGGGTGCTGCTGTCCAAAGACAGAGAGGGTCGGCTTTCGGGCCGTTGTTAGCCAATGCTTTCTTCATTCTTTCCGGGCAATATGTCTTGATGGCTTTTCTGCCCGCAAGAGTTTCTGAGTACTGTACAGTGAAATTAGGAGAACATTATTTCAGAATAGATTAGAAACACATAATGTAGAAAGGGAGGAAAGGCCAGGAGTGAATGTGATCTACTAACTAGACGCCTCTCTTGAATGTGCCTGTGGACAGTTGTGTCCGACATGATTTTGTCTTTTGTCCTTGCTGAGGGAAGGCGGTTATAGAGCCATGACCCCCCCCCCCTTAGGTGGCAGAGCAATCCCCACAATTCTCTCTTTTGCTTTTGATCCCCTAATAAAACGCTGGAAGAAGGGGAACTGAAGGACACAAATAGGGTGTGCTGCAGGGACAGACTAGCACTCAGCCAGGAGACCTGGGTTCAAAATGCTGACGGCCTGTCGACACTGAAAATGGGTGCGATCTGGTTGGTGCTTAAAGGGTCCTTATCTGCAGTGCAATCTATTTTAACTTTTGGCACCCCTCGACCAAGGCAGAACAAAGAGCTATTTTGCATCTCAGTGAATCATCCCAAAGAGATTGCATACCTTAGCAAAACAAACAAACAAAAACACCAAAAGCAAAGTGAGTCGCTTATATACCCGTTGGACAGTATTGAAAACACTCTCTGGATGGTCTACAATTTAATTATTCAGGTTACACATTCCCCCAACCCAGCAAGCTGGGTGCTCAATTTACCAACTACAGAAGGGTGGAAGGCTGAGTGAACCTTGAGCCGGCTACCTGCGTTTGGTTCCAAAGCAGAGTTTTGGCTGCAGAAGGATGGGCTGATTTAAGTGGAAACACAAGCGGAGGTCTTTTTTTTCTCCCATGCCAAATATGGCCATCATAAAACATAACTATATATGTATCAGTGTGAACAGGCTCTGATTCTACCATGGGTTCTGCCTTAGTGTGGGTTACACTAGCAGCAGGGAACAAGCTTATGTGGGGTGTTTTAGAAGGGTCAGACTTGATAAATGTGATCTACTCAAGTGTGATGGTGTACAGTACATGGAGATTGCTCCTGTCAATATTGTCTACAAACTATCAGGAACCCCTACACAATACTAGTTATTGATTTCCCCAATTTCACTTTAGGAGACAGAATAAATATAAGTCATGCTGTCACCCACCTTGTTGCTTCTCATAGGTGGAAAATATATGAGCTTTCCTAAATCCAAAAAATTGAGGTGAAGACAAATATTTCTCATTTGCTTTCTCTTCAGGCACACTTTTTCTCAGTAACTGGCTGCCTTAGAAGGGGTTCTTAAAAGTGGGGCTGCTGTTTTTCAGTGTGCTTTTTAAAAAGTTTTAAACATTGTTTGTTTTAATATTATTAGCCATCTTGGGTCCTCTTGAAGAGAAAGGAAGGGTATAAATATTTTAAATTAATAAATAATAAACTACAGTATATTCTGCAGCTTATGCATTCTCCCTCCCATACTTTTTGCTACATCTAACTATGAAGAATTATATGTGCAGCCTGGTCTTCCCCAAGTCATTGTTTTGGAAGGAAGTGTCTCAAATTTCAATGAAAGCTGCTTCCCAGAATGTGTGCATACGGTTGTAACATACTTCAGCTGTGTCTCAAGTGCAAAATGAGAAACATGTGACTATTGTGAGACAAGCCACAGGACAATTAGTATTCAGAATGTGTTCATAAAAGATAATGTTAGTTGTCAAGGCTAGGCAAGCCTCAGATGAAGTGAATCCATGGCAGTAAAGTAATCTCCACCCACTGCAAATATTATCTTCTTTATTATTTTAATTTTTTCTAAATTAAAATTTTACTTCAGTTCTGGTTATAATACTATATAACTACTCCCATGGAACATATTATCACAGTGTGTTAGAATAAAAGGCAGCTGTTAAACTGCCCAAATATGTGGTTTCATACAACAGTCCTTTCTTGCAGAGTTGCCACTTTGTGAAAAGCACAAAATACACATGCTTGCTTCTTTTGAGGATTCTGTGTGATAAACACATGTTTTTTCCTCATAATTTTTTTGAGGTATTGCTCCCAGAATCTCGCAGTCAGCATGGGCTGGGGTATTCCAGGAATGTATTACAAAGAAGAATATGTGCTTGCTGTGGAAAAAAACTAATATTTTTAAAAATCATGAAAGGAATTTTTGAAACAGTGCTCCAATATATTATCATCTATTCTGAATTTCCACAAATGCACCTTACATTCTTTACCAATTTGTATGAATGGAACTAGATAAAGATTTGATCCAAACACTCCTTTTGAAATAATTGCATGGAAATATCTTACATACTTTACCAGTATGTAAAACCAAAGGAATTTTACTTGGTGTCTCTACATAATACACATTTCTTCTTATCCTTGACCTAGAAATACAGTATTCTTTGGTTAAGTGTGTGCAGTGTGAATGATTTTGAAATGAAGCCACCCCATTGCTTAATTTGTATTGTCAAATAGTCACTGTCACTGAGTGTTAATTTACAGTTATCGTCTCTCTTACCCTCTTGAACACTCATTTGAAAATTATATCTGTTGTGACTCAGCCATCTGTATGGGTGGTGTTTGACCGGTGTTTGTTAGAGATAATGCTCCACATGATATCCTCTCTTTATTCTTTCTCTTTTGTTTGTTATGTCTCTGCACAAAAAAAGAAAAAAAAGGAAAGAAAACTCACTTTCCTTAGACTTCTAAGAAGGCATGAATGTAACTGGCCAAAAAAAGATGACAGAAAATGACAGATGCACAAATGTAAGTACTGTATAAAATCTATTGCTTTGTGTATGTGCATGTATAAATAGAAAGAACAATGCAGTTTTATGCAAAAAGCTCTCAGCTGTATGGAAATTACATCAGAACAAGTAAAGCAAAAGGATCTTTGCCATGGCCTCCTTTCACTGCATAGCTCATTTTACTGTGATGCACAGAATGGGGCCAAAAGAGGGCTACCACTGAAATGCGTTTCATCCACAAGCAAGATGTTTCAATTGCCAGGTCTCTGTACTTTGTTGGTTTTTCCAATTCTTCTTATGTGAAGATCATAAATATCTTTATCAAACACACATTTATAATTTACATTAATTTACATTATGCATTTATATAATGTTTCCCTCCTTTTAGGTTGACAAGTATGTTGGTGAAATTAAAGGTGGGCTGAGGCCAACCATGAAAATCACTATCATGGGAGTAATATGTTCCACCCCCAAAAGGTAAGTGTGTTGCCATCCAGACAACAGTTTCATGAGTGTATCTGGTCAAAACAGCATGTAAGTGTAATCATATACGCACCTTGGGGGTCTACAACTGGTTCCAGGTGCCAAATGCATACACTTAAAATTAACATATTCTGAGCTTAGGAATTTATTTTGAGTGTCAGAACAGAACAGAGGTTCTTTATTTCAGCAGAATAATTTGGCATTTGGGTATGTGATTGAATCATTTATTGTATCTGTTGTTATTGGCAACTATGTTTTCTGCTTTTTTATATTATTTAATGAGTTGCATTACATACAGCAGCACTATCATTCCATGTCTCTGTGCCATCCCTGCTGCTAGATCCAGTAGGTTCTATTTACTATGAAATAAATATAGCATTATGTGATATGTATGTAGTATGTTAAAGATGAGCTCTTCCCTTACATCTCCTACGCCATCCTATTGGATTATTGATGTTTTTTTCTCATTACTACATGTTTGTTCCTCACAGTTTTTCCGTGACTCTGCTCTGTGACCCCATTGATGGTCATGCAAGCAAGGATATTGGCCTATCACTCATAGTCAGTTTTACTGAGAAATCCGTTGTCCGGAATTCACGAATTGCTGGGAAATGGGGTAAAGAGGAAAGAACAATTCCTTACTTCCCATTTACACCAGAGGACTCATTTAAGGTAATTTATTATTTATATATGTAAAGTTGCTTTGACAACTAGTATGGTATAGTGGATATAGTATCCGACTGGGGACTCAGGACACCTGGTTTCAAATTTCCACGTATCTACAGAAACTTACTTGGGAATGGCAATGGTAAATCATTCCTTGAACACTTTACATACTACTGTACTTGGATTGCCGTAACTTGGAATCGACGTGATTGTATGTAACACATAAAGTTGTCTTATGCTAAATGGGAGCAGTGGCGGGGGGGGTAATAAGAAAAAGATTTGGTGAGCACATGTGGCCTGTGGGCCTTTGTGGACCCCTGAACTCGAACAATAGAACTTATGACCTTTGTGTGTACAAAACAACATTTGTTCCATCAGTGTTTACAGAAGCAGAAGAAAGCCTAGCTTAAGCCATCCAGTATAATATTTGCCATGCAGTTTTAAAACAATCCAGAGGGTGATGAACATGCTTAAGTCCCATGGAACTCAATAATAGGCAGAAACACTTTATGGCCTATCAATCTTTGTGGCTTTCCTATACTTGACTATTTCTGGATTGCATTTATATGATGCTGTTGTTATCCACTAATGCATTTTTCTGTTTATTTCTTTCAGATGGAGCTCTTCTGTGAGCATCAACAGATCCGTGTCCTGCTTGATGGGCGGCAACTCTGCAGTTTCAGTCACCGTGTGCAGCCTGTGCAAAGAGTGACAGCTTTACAAATCTCAGGAGATCTCAAACTCACTAAGGTGGCCTGAAGAATAGAATAAAGGATCCCATATTTTACTGTGCTACGGCAACAATTCTCTTTCCTACATTCTTCAAAGTGTTTCCTTCCTTTTCTGCAAGGTTTTTTTTTGGAGGATTTGAAATGTTCAGGAAATTTGGATTAGGTGTGTTAGCAACCACCCCGTCCCTGTTTTGTTTTATTTTTCTTTGCCTACCAAATTGATATACTAATTCTTATCCTAATGTTCCACAATCTGTAATGAATGACTGGTTTGGGGGCTTCACATGACCACAGCATTATTATAATAATTGCAAGCCATGGATCCAGTAAAGCTTTTTGTCCATATAGAAAAGATGGTGAATCCACAGAGGATGTATGCATTTCCAAAGAGAGCACATGGCACCTGCTTATTTAATGACTATGTAAATTAGAGGAAGTCAACCCCATTCAGAGCTAACTACATAACACAGAGAAGTTTCTAGTCATGTATTCCTTTGTATGTTCTGTGCAGCTTACTCTGTACGTAAGATTATAACTATGTAGTGCCATTCTACATGTTTCCCTAGAAGTAAATCCTACTATGTGGAGCTTCCTTTCTTGTAAATGTGCACAGAATGGAATTGCACCATGAGTGCAGAATATGCAAATGAAGGATATATAAATATCCTTATTGTATTTTGCTAAACTGAGACAATATTTTACTTGCGTTTTTCTATATCAGTAACGCTTTGGTCTGTTGTGCTAAAATAGTATATACTTTAATTAAAATTGCTATTTTAACTTTTTAAAAGTACACATCCAGTTTTGTTCCATGATGTTGCACATATGATGCCATTGTTCTGGAAGATGAAAAGGGAGGATGTGTAAATCTGAGAAGTCAAATTCCATGGACTTTTTCATTTTCCGGATCTACATCAGTTTTTTGCTACTTTCATGTGGATTAGGAGTATGTAGGAAAAAGTCCCTCCTATATTATAAATCTTTTAAAATTGAATTTTTCCAATTGTACACATGGTTTGTTTGCACTGTTTAAAATATGACAGATAGATAAAACTTTATTACCATCAAAGACCAGCCACAAATAAAACATCGAAATATATAAATATGTTTTTCCACATTTTTAAAATATGTGCTTTTTTCTATGAGTAATTTTCAAGTACATTATTTTTTATAAATGTTTGCAAAGTTTTGGAATGTGTGGATTTTTTAACACAAAGTACATACGGTATAGATCCATTTTAATGGGTAGTATATTAACATTCCTCCTGATAATTATGGCTGTGGAATTTTCATTTATGAATGTGATTTCTAAAAAGAAACACAATTATCAAACTCACTGCTAAAACTTGTCAGAAATCCTTGTGCCTCTTAAGTTATAGTTCTAAGATTTTTAAAGCACCTTTGTATTTAAGTAACAAACATTTAAGATTTTATAACTAGAAATACAGTACATAGTATGAGAAACATAGGAAAATATTTCAAAATGGTGTAATACCAAATATACAGAGAGGGAGGTTATTAAGCTATATTCCACATTGATAGTCCAAGTCCCGTTGTGCAATATTTGCCTACTTAAAGAGTGATAGTGTCACAGGCAAGGGAGTTTGCTGATAAAGTAAGACTGCTTCAATCCCAGGCTCACACAGCTCACACACAATCAGTTTCATTGCATACAAGCATGCAAGTGGAAGCAGTAACTCTTTACCAACAGTCTTCCCCCACCACTGATGTCATCTCCCTTATTTTGGCATAATTTGTACAACAGGATTTGGAGCAATATTTGTTTTTCATAATAAACCTTTTGTTGCAAAACATAACTGGCTACTAACACTTAGAGCTTCTTGTATATTCCACAGGACATTTCTTTAAAAAGAAAGAAAGAAAGTGATGTGTAGCTACCTTTTTTTCCAATGCATATTATTCTTTACATGCAGAATTGATACTAGACAAATCAATATGCAATAACTATGAACATCAGGAAGAATTTAGTGGTTTCTCTGCCAAGGGAACAGCATTTTTCAAATAAATCAGTTTCTCTTCTCCACTGCATCGCTGTCACCTAGATCAGCTCTGGAGGGTAGAGGGACCTCCTGGAGCAGAGCGCGGCTGCAGTAGTGAGGAAGGGAAGAAAAGTCCCTTTTTCCAATAGATTTTTGGGTGTCACTCAGAATATTAGTCCTTGTTATTCTTCACAAAAATAACATCCAACAAAAAAAAAATCAGTTTAGTGAATGGTTTGCAATTTCCACCATCCATCCTGGTGAAAGGTACTTCTGCTTGTCTGAGACTCGGAAGATTTTCTCTTTAGGAAACTAAGTGGGCTAGTAGGCTACATAGGTGAATTCTCAGGGGAATTCTTACAATTACATACCTCCATTCCTCTGAGATGCTCAGAGTGGTGCAAGATCCTTTCCATTCCCACCCACATTTTGTTAATCCTACTTATAATGTATGTTTGATTAAAAGAGTTATTAACCCAGAGTCATCTGATGAGAGCTTAATGACCCAAAACAAATGTTAACCTTGATTTTCCCCCCAGTTCTATGTTAACATATAATCTCTGTACTGTAACAAAGTTCTCTTTCTTCCTCTTCCCTTTATTTATTTATTTATTTATTTGTTTGTTTGTTTGTTTGTTTGTTTGTTTGTTTGTTTGTTTATACCCCGCCTATCTGTTCAAAATGGATAAAAGGCAAACTTGCTATGTTTGTGCATAGACAAGAGTTCTGACTCCTGTCCTCTGAAGATGCCGGCCACAGAGACTGGCAAAACATTAGGAAGAACAACATTCAGAACATGGTCAAAGAGCCCAAAATATCCACAACAACCATTGCTATGTTTTTGCTTTGCCCAGAGATAACTATGAGCTAGAGTTAGCCATTTCCTCTTATGAACTGCACTTCTGGACAATACAGGTCTAGGGAATAGATATGGTCTAGAGTAGGAGCAGGGGAGAACTCAAAGGCCAATAGCAGAACTCCTCAATCGCTTCTATGCCCATACTTTTCTGAGGCATCATTATCAAGTTGGGATATAAGAACTGAGAAAATAGAATAGCCCAGAACCAACAAGCACAAAAACCAATTACTGTATTTTTCTGTGTATAAGATCCCCCATGTATAAGTTACCCCCCTTTTCTAGTCCAAAATTAAGAAATCTAAGTGGGGCTTAGCACGGGTGGGGGGAAAGGGATCAAAGCGCTGCAGGATAGCTTTGATCCCTGCTTTCCCCTCCACTTGTTTTTGTTCTCTCCTCAGCTTACTTCCACGTGTAAGACAACCCTCAATTTTCAGTCTAAAGATTTTAGACAAAAGTATAGTCTTATACACGGAAAAATACGGTATCTTTTTTTATACCTTGTATTTCAACAGGACCATTCTCAAAATGGTTCATACAAAAACATTAAAAGTGTGTAATATTAAACAATCAGAACTTACAACTACAAGCTAAGAATTACATGGTGGCAAATACAAAATCTATATATAAACCACAACCATATACCCTTGTGGATCCATATACCCTGGAGAGTTGAATAGATCCATGTAGAAGAGAGCTGATTTGCCTTTAGATGGGTTGTCCCCATTCTTGGTTATAATTATGACACAGTTCTCCGTGTCATTCAGTTTATCTTTATTCAGGTGAATGTACCTGGTGAAATACTGTATCCAGAATTCCAGACTGACTTTGAGATGACAATATGTAGAGATCTTCGACTACATAGAAGAATAGATGAAAATAGGTGCATCATCAGAATGTACAAATTGTCAGATGAAGAGTGTTATATGCTTTCCTGCTTCATGATAAGCAGATTAGTCAGATGTAGGCTTCGTGCTAGAGTTAAAACAATTCTGCTGCACTGAAGCATGAGTTTTCCGTGTCCTAGACATTCTCACAATTCTTATGTCTGTTGTTTGATAGCCTCAATCCATTGAGCCCTCTCTGCCTTACAACTGGCCTGTATGTAGTAGTGGATGTCATTCTTTGTGATGATTTTGAAGAGATTGCCCTGCACATTTCCTTTCACTCCTGGAAAGAAAGGGGGGGAAATCAGGCACAATGTACAAGATACAGTGGCAATGAAGTTAGTGCAGTTATAGCAGACATTTTTCCAGAGAGATGTTTGAGTATGATAAGGACAAGTGGTCTTGCCAGAGTTGCCATATGACTCGCTGCGTTTTCTTCTTGCCTACAAAAGCCGGTAATGGAACAGACGTATACTTCATGCAACTGTTTTCACAAGCAACATGAAAGGCTGCTTATGTTCTCCATTAGACTGTATGCTTAACCTGGGACCAAGTTTGCTCAATTTGGATCTGTGTGTAGACAGGGCACAACAGTTTCTGTTGTCATCACTATCTTTTCTAAGTAGCTGTGAACAATACACACAAGGTGATGGGCAAGCAAAGCAAGCTCCCGACCTTTGGGACTGTTATTTCTTTATTTTTTTAAAGAGTCTACAATATACAGCACGATTACAGTAAGATCAGACCAAGTCAGGTTGTGGCATCTGTGAATTTCATTACATTATCCCAACAGATATTACCTATAATTTCAGAACTGGTCTGTAACTGAAATGATGACAAAGATTCCAATGCAAGCAGCTACTTCATACTATCTACAAATGAAAAAGGAATACATAAACAATACTATCACAGGAGAAAGTAATCTGGCATGGTCATAACTTAACTGCTGGAACTCCATTATCTTCTAGTGCTGAAATAAGACAGCCACGGAGAGAAAACCCACCAACTGGCCTGTTATCTTCCTATAAGAGGTGAAATAAAAGGTCTAGTGATAAGATAAAGATTACATTCCCTGCAACACATTTCACATTGTCATGAAAGATATAATAATGCAATAGATGATCATATCAACAGTGCTTTAAATGTGTTTCAGGACTTAAACCCTAGTCAATCATTTTGTAACACAGAATAATTTCCATGATTACAATGGAGAAGCTAATACCGGCCATTGGCTATCAGATCAAGGACATATTTTTTAATCCTGTCCTAACATTTAAAGCCCTATGTGCTTCCTGTCCTAATTATTTAGCAGAGCTGGTGTCATGGCATATTCTTCTTAAGAGGACTCAGTCTGCATATTCTGGAATTTTGTCCGTGCCTTGGACTAAAGTGGCAAATTCCAGGCTTTGGACATTTTCGCATTCAGCTCCAGAGCTGTGGAAGTTTGTCCCTCAGCACCTTTGTATGGAAACAGAGTTAGGCCAATTTAGACAAGGTTTGAAAACCTGTCTCTTCAACCTGGAGCCATAGATGTTGGTTGTAGGGAGTGGTCAGGGCTTTACTGTTCACCCTACTACAGATACTAAATGTTAATTATTTAATAATGGCATTGGAAAAAGGGAAAGGTGTCTTTACCTAGTTAGACTATTTGTCTACTCTGATAAGTATAACCAGAAGAGTTTGTGCACCTTTAATAATTGTGTACAGAAAGAAAGTTTGTCAAACTTTGCTTGTTCATAGATCCTACCTACTAATAGAAAGTCCTGCTTCTGCACAATTTTAGAAGTTGCAGAGACTCTGTCATCTTTTGCACTTGGCCACCCTAACTTTGACTGGCAGTACCTCTTCAGGATCTCAGATGGAGGTGTCCTGGATCACATTAAAAATCTTTTTAATAACATGAGATGCCAGAGATTTCTAACATGTGATCATATACCTTTCCACTAAGCTTTAGTCTCTTCATTCAATGGAAAATTATGGTACAACACATTCTGCATCTCTCAAATCAGGGCATGATATATGACTGCTGAGTCTGAGCTTCTGAAATGTATGAATACAGTATTAGCTTATTGGCTGGATGCTGCATCCATCATAGTACCCTCTTGTTCTGTGAAGTATATGAAATTGAACAACAGCCCACTGCAATTTACTTCAGGAGGGGGATGAGAAACAAGGGAGACCTCTTTCTTTCTCTTCCACACACAGACCTTCAAATACTAGAAATGCACCACCTCACCTTGGTGGGGTCATAATAATGTAAGAAAGCAGGATCAGCCCTCAGGACGAACCGCCTCACCTTCCAGTTTTTTCTTTTGTGCCCCTAAACATTGGAGAGAGAAAAAAAATATGTAAGACTCCTTCTGCTAGACATATAGTGTTCTGAAACTACCCCACTTTGCGTAATAGTAGGGTTTTGTGTGCCTGTGGGAACAAAAGATTCTGGGTGCTTTCAGATAAAGATCTTTGTTATGGAATTGCTGTTTCAAAGATGGAATTTTACAGAAATCATTTCCCATTAGTAATCCCCTTATGTTTTTCCCTCACTGTTGGTGTTTTTCTCACAAAAAAAAGTGGTAGCGCTAGGAATTGTCCGCCTGAAAACACCATCTCTGTTTTCTTACAAGTTGTCTTGGGGGTCACTGAACTTCAGAAAACAACTTGGGATAAGGTGGGGTGTGTGGTATATTGCAGAATCACAGTTCTAAAGGCTTACAGGGTGCATGGGGCTACTGGCTTGGATTCCTAGAGAAATACGATATTCTTGGGATTCCAATGCAATTCAAGAGTTGTCACAAAACACAGAAATCACAAATACGTGAAGAGTTATATTCAGTTATTAGTCCCAAATACAGTATACAATTGAATGAATGGAACTTACAGTGCTTTAACCAATGACCCATTGATTAAATTGGTCTACTGTAACTGAAACGTAACCATTGTGTTTAGCCTCAAAAGGCAAGGCACTGAAATATGTAGGAAACAAACAAATTCTAAAAATCTGTTTGAATTGGTGTAGATAGTGCAGTGCTCTAAACAAGGTTTCCCTGGGCAGAAAATTGTTGCTGATGATTTTGTTGATGTGGTAGTACTATTTTATCACAGTGAAAGCCAAACTGTACATTCATTAATGCCCTGTGAACCACCTTTTTATAAACTACACATCAGATTCAGGGACAAAAGTACATGTGCCACCCTCAGATTTCCTGCCCATGAAAAGTTAGCTTGCCAGCTAGATGGTTATACATTTACATTCTCTTACATCTTGGACATGCACTTCTTATGGAAAGAATACTTCCAATTAGTCACAAGGACCTTTCCCTGCAGAGAACTGTCAGCCCTACAACCCCACTATTTCTCCAGAAGTATTCTACAACCTATTTATTCTGCAACATTGTACATATGATTTTGATTTGTTATTACTGAGTGTATTGTCCTTCTCTCTTCCAAACACACACACACACACGACAGAATTCTCCACTCCTCCCACTGCCCATTTGCCAACATGTTCCAGAAGTCATATTCACCTGTTTTGTTAAAAAGCCTTGTTTTACAATTGTGCCACTCAATTCAAGAATGTTAAGATGAAGCTCTTCTTTGGAGCTGACTCTTTTTTTATAGCTTTCAGCCTGCAGTTTAAAAAGGAAAGAGATTTAGAATTTGGTTATTCCATTTTTGGTGCAGAGAAAAATGTGGAGAGATCTGCCAACCCTAACACCTTCCCTTGGTAAACGGGAAATTATTAATCCAGACGGTTTTTGTTTAAAGGAAACAAAACAAAAACAAAAAATCCCAATAACGCGTTTTACTTATAGGTCACGGTTTTATTCTTTCATATACATACTGTGGTGTGACATCTCCACATATCTATCTCTGGACAGCAGAAAATGGAGGAGAAAAGAAAGGCAGCAAACGAAAGAAGCAACAGATAGGAAAGGGCATAGAGAAAGAGTCTTCTACATTTAGTGTCAGGTATAGAGCATGCTTCCCATAGCTATAAAATGTTAAAGGAGGAGCATGAAAGATTATATTTTTCCAACAGATAATCTATACAAAATATAAAAAATACAAATGTCATTCTTAAACATGGAACCTTTAATAGTTTAAAACAACATCCATCTCTAGAGTGTTTTTCTGTTGTTCCCTGATGTAACATGCTGAACTTCAGGGCTGGCTTTAGCATTCAGCATCCCAGGTCCCTGCTCCTTGCTCCTCTTGCAGAATTTGCAGCTAACATCAGCAAGAGACCACTCCATGCCCACTTCCTCCTAACAGACTGGCTTATGAGTTACCTTCCATTTTAATTATCATCACTTATAGGAAATTAATGGCAGGGAAGCCACTATGTCTCATCGCAGGTCACAGTTTTGCTCCCACAACTCATTAGATAAGCATACAGTGGGGGCTTGACTTGAGAACTTAATCCGTATTGGAAGGTGGTTCTCAAGTCAAAAGGTTCGCAGGTCAAATCTGCATTTCCCATAGGAATGCATTGAAAACCATTTGATCCGTATCTGCTCTTTTCCGTCCATAGAAACTAATGGGAAGCGGCTATTCCGCCTTCGACCACTAGAGGGGGATATTTTGTTTCTTTTTTTCTTAGGTCAAGAAAGGTTCAGGGAAGGCAGGGAAAATACAGTCCAGGCAGTACAGTACCAGGCAGTCTGAAAACTGTCTCCCAATCCACTCTCTAAACGCTGGGAGGAGTGAGGAAACAGACAGGCACCCTTTTCACTGGCCAACAGTTAACTGAAAGTTCAAATTTTGCACTTTCCCTGCCTCCCACGTGTTTTTTTTTTCAGTTCTTAACTCAAATCTAAGTACTTAAGTCAAGTCAGTATTTTCCTATGAGAGTGGTTCTTAAGTCAAAATGTTCTTAACTCGAGCCGTTCTTAAGTCAAGACCCCACTGTATCACTATGTCTCATCGCAGGTCACAGTTTTGCTGCCACAACTCATTAGATAAGCATATCAGAAAGGCCCACTGAGGCAAAAGGCTACCAACAAGGGGGCCTCCATGTGGGGCCTCCTCAGATTGGGGGATTGCCCTGATAAGCAGTGACAGAAATGCACAAATTTAGTTGAATAATTGTACAGACAGCAAACTGTTCCCACATTGTGCCTACAATAAAGGTAAAATTTACTTTTTATGTATACACACAGTCCAAAGTCCAACTACTATATCAGTTTCAGATAGAAGTCTTTAAAGCATTAAGAAGGTCCTAAGATTCCACCCCACAACCTTATCTCTCAACTGGTTTGTCAAGGGTTGGCCTAATTTTTCTATCAAATTCTCAATTCTGTATGCACAGCTACTTTCACTTTACAGCATTATAGAAAGAGAGGAGACATAAATTTCAGGAATCTCGCCACTTACAAATAGATACAATGCAGTAGAATCGTCTAAAAATTGCTCAACTAGATCACCATTCCTCATGGCTTCAACACTTCGGGCTCCCACAGGCTTGATGAAATTTTCTTCCATCAGCATAGAGGCCAGTGTGACTGCCTCTAGCCTGGAGGCTGCAAATTTATTGGAAATCAGCCAGTCTACCAAAACAGAACCTAAGAAGGAGAAAGCAAACCTTGAGGCAAAAACAATATGTAGCTAGACTGTTAGCAAGATGGTTATGTCTGATTTAATCTACTCCTTACTGTATCATAGACAAATGTATCTTAAATTAACAAGGAGCAGTCATTAACGGAGATATAATCTCCAATATTGAAAGTCTAATACATTTAATAATAGAGGAAATACTTAATGACTAGAAAGGGATCATATAGGTTGAGGAGGGTGGGGGAGATTGGACTTTAAATCCCAGAACCTGACAGCCAGTTTAAGCACTGGCCATGTGGGCTATGAGATTCTGGTAGAACAAAAAAAGTAACTATTTCCATCTCTGTAAATTACACAGAATGATATACACCACAATAGTCCATTTTACCATTCCTCTGCTGCCACATCAATCAATGAAGTGCAAGGGGAACCTGCAATGACAACATCGTGCCAGGGGCCATTTATTTAAATGTTACAAGAAAGGCTCTAGTTAGTGGTGGTCATATAGCAGCAACCCTACAGCATCTAACCTAGATCCAAGGTTTGGACTTTACATCAAGAAGAAAAGATTGGGTGGCAATGGAGAAGTAAGATATGCAGATAGGTAGAGCTGAAACTAAAATTAAAGATGTTTGCTTTCACCACCATGTTACTCTTCTTACTTTTCATCCTGCTCTTCCTTCAAAGTCCTTGTCAGAACCTTCTGGATCTATGCACAATTTCCCTCATGATGAACCAACAAACTGTTCTGTGGCTGCTTTCTCTGTCAAGTACCTCCTCACCCTGGACCAAAATTCTGCCTATTGGAGGCACCAGGCCAGGAAGGGCTGTGAAAGGATTGCCTGTTGCAGCCCAGCTTGACTTGGGCAATAAGGTATTCTTGAGACATTATCATTTTTTTTTGGCCCAGACTCCAAGCTTGCTTTTCAATCCTGCCTCCTGGTTTGTTCTTTGATTCCAATGTTATTTGGGCCTGACTCCTGGTTCCTTGTTCCTACTTTCCCTCAGCCTGCCACTAAAGACTCAACTCTGCCATTATTTCAGCATCATGGGGGTGGAGGTGGGGACACTTGCATTTATCCTTTGTATTATTTCTTATGTACCGAAGCTGAGAAAACAGGATCTGAAGATTTCCCATAGTGAGTCCTGTTAAAAAGTAGCTATCTTTTGTACTAGAGTATACTGAAGTATTAGGAGGCTGATAAGTGTGTGTGTTTTATGATTTGATACCTGTAAAACTTTCCTTATACGTGCTGCCTTGTCCTGTGTTGGGTGTCAACTTAATTCCATTGCTGTTGTCATGCATTTTCTCTACAATGAGACTAGAAAAAAAAACAAGAAAATATTAGTGTTACTGTAAGACCGAGAGAGGGAAGCAAGCTATTCTCGCTGGAGTGCCATCCCATCGTCTCACTATAGAAAAAGAGGTGCAAACCTTGCCTGTGTCCCCTCCCCTCCAGAACTGCCAGAAACAGACCCAAGGAGTGTGGAGAAAGGATTACAAAACTTAGCAGTTAAAGAACCTGGGAAGAAAATGGCAGGAAAAGACCAGAAACCCCGGGTAGAGGTAGAGGCGGGGATGGCCGATATAAAGGGGAGAAAAGGGGAGTTGCCTCCAGGTTGGTAATGGATCTGGATGCAGGATCCATGGACTGGCAAGTGGGAAAGGCTCCGGGTACCAAAAGAAGAGGCGGATTAGAGGAGAATGAGGAAGGTGACCCCAAGACCGTCTTACTGGGGTGAAACAGAGGGGAAGGAGTGGAGGAGGAAATTGAGAGAGGAGAAAGAAAGGATTGAGAAGGAGAGATGAGAAAGGACAGAATGGAGAGTGAAGGAAACCCAGATGAGGGGATACCTTCTAGAACATGGTAGACCTTTGCGGCCTCTGGGGAACCCACCTGGGTGGACCACCAGGACACCGTGCCCTTATTGGAAGGAGAACCCAGACAGATATTGAACACTGATCTGCCTACGGACTGGCTAGGGCCTTGGAGCATTGTTGGGGGAAACCCCTTTAAAGAAGAAGCTTGGAAACCCCTTTCTGACCAGTTGTTAGATGGTGATAAAAGTTGGAATGCTTTTGCTGACACCGGTTTCTTGTTAAACACCGCAATAAATGCTACTCCTGTTGCTAAACCTCGCAAGTCTGCTAATTTATTTGGAGAGAAACAGGAGCCAACTCTTGAACCCTCACAGTTACACAAACAGAAACTGGTTTTGTCAAATACCCAAAACTCTTCTGTCTCACCACATAAAACCAACAAAGAGGATTGCTTTAGAATCAGATGCAGAAACACCCCAGGCATTAATGAAAGGAAATTCCACAGACATGACCCATTCAGGTTGCCCACTCCTTTCATAACCACCACACACACACAAGAGTCCACAAATACTGGAAAAGCAAATTGAGGAATTTTTCAGTACTTACCTCAGACTGATATTTGATGGCAGTTTGAAAGAATTTTTCATGCGCTGAAGCTGTTGGACTTGCCCCGGATTGCCAGCATGAATGGCACCAGTTATATCCAAAGCCCAAGAGTCACGCTCTTCTCGGGAGGAAGAGTCAAGGAAATATTCTGTGTTGGTTTTTGTTCTCAGTTTAATGACCAACTGCAAAATGACAGCACAGAAGTCAGTATTTATACTCATTGCCTATATCGTTCAAACATTTATTTGAAATTTCTTACAGATAAAGAGGAAGAAAGAGATCTTAAATATTTCTACTGCTCCAGTCATAGACTGATGTGGTCTCTTATTCTTCCAGATCAAGAGAATTAAACGCTGTTTTTATCTAGTGGCCCCATTTAAACTGTCCTAGCATCAGATCTCCAGTTGTGAAGAACTCCTAAGAGAAACACCTACTCCTGTATCAACTCAGTTGAACAATACAAAAGTGCTTCTCTGGGATTTCTGCCGTCAGAAATATTGGCAAGTGGTGACCAAGGATAGAACGTTTTCAGTTGTGATGTCCTGGCTGCATCATTTGCTCCTCAAATAAAAACATCGTTACCCACTCTCTTTTTTTTGTGCCAAGCTAATTCCCTGTTAGTCTCACATGGTTTAACTATCTTTGCTATACATCTAAAATACCAGTAGTATTTGCTTTCATAATTTCATATGAAATTTCATAATTTCATTTCAGTTTCTATTATATACCTCCTTAGTGCATTGTTCCAGGTTTTTTTTAAAGCTGCTGCACTATGCATTCCTTATTAAGGCTAAACTAGGCAATACATGAGACATCTGCGATAAGTTCACCTATTTCATTATCTGATTAAGGTAGCCCTCTCAGAACATCCTTCCCAAAGACCTTCAAACTGTCTGAGCCAGCAGGGCTCTCATCTCTAATCGGTATCTGTCACTTCGAAGAATCAACTCAACAAAAATCTGTGACAAATGGGTATAGAGTAGACATACCGGCCTGTTCTCATACTCCAAACAAGGGCAGGTAATAATGCAGCCATCAAGAAGAATTCTGCCCTTTGGAGAAGACTCCTTCTTTCCTCCCACAACTTTATAATAGAGCAGCCTGTCTTGGAGGAGAACAAACCATCTTGCTTTCCAGTTGTGGACAACGTGCCCCTATGAAGAAATTAGAGGCAGTTTAAAATCAACACTCATCTTCTTCAGTATAGCATGCATATGGATTTAATACTCACTGCAATCCATACTTCTTTCATTTTCACTGTGCTCTTGATCTGTAGAACTTTTGAACAAGGTACTGACTTCAGGATTTCTCCATACACTAAAAATGTCCCTTAAATTCATTTTAGCCACTGCACCATGCTCCATAGGCATCCCAGCCAGCCATAGCAGCTGGATGGGATGCTTATGGGAGCATGGTGCATATACATATACACATATATATACATATACATACACACACATACATATGTACATATATATATATATATATACACACACACACACACACACATACTGTACATACAAAATGTTATATATAGACTGATGCAACATGATTGAATAATTAAGGTAGCACAATCAGATGTAAAGGCAATTAAATTATCCATTTTTAAAAGCACATAAAATTATATGCAATATTTACATGTTCACATTTACACATACACAATGCATTTTGATTTTACAAAAACTACAGAGCCCCCTGTGCTACAACCCGCTACCCTTCTGCTATACTGGAGTACCATTTCCATCAGCCCAGGCAGTGTGATTGCTCACTGAGGACAAAATGAGTGCAACATATCTGGAGGGTACCAGGTTTTAATGGCTGCTGTTGAGCTCTTAGAACAATATACTGCTTAATGTACTTTGAAGGTTTGGAGTCACTGTGTCATCATAAACACACTGAACTTATCTGGTTTCAGGAGCTAAACAAATTTGACCAAAGACAGAAACCTCCCTGAAGCCCTGAAGAATCACTGGTAGTCAGATATGATAGTATAAAGGTGAACAGACCAATGATTTGCCTCCCGTAAGGCATTTTCGCCGAGGTTCCTATTTCATTCAGTAGCAATACTTTCTATCAGAAAAGTTCAAGCTGGGGAAAGTTGACAAAAGACCACACAGAGATTTTTGAAAGGCATGCTGTTTGCAGCTCTTGTCCAGATATACTGCTGGGAAAATTTATAGTTTAAATAAAGACCACTTAAGAGATTTCAGGATTCCAATATCATAGATCTGTGTTTGAATCAGCATACATTTACTGTGTTTTTCTGTGATTTTCCTCCCAATATGGCTAATGGCAACCTGGAGGAGCAACTGTGATGAGGGACAGGGAAAGGGAAAGGTTTAAACACACATTTGTTCAGTCAACTGCAGTTCTAAGATTATTATTATTAAATTAGCAAGTTTCTTGGTTGCTCTGAAGCAAAGAAAAAAAATCAGGGGTTTCCCTGTGTCATATGTAATGAGCCAGGAGAAGGAGGAGGAGAAGCCAGGCACACTGAAACAAGTGTCCCATTCTTTACCATGCACAGAACAGCAATTGTATGACCAGTGCATGACTGAGTGTTCATCAGGCATCTTGTAGAAAGGAAAAACCCATTTACTGTATTTGATTGGCATTCTGCATGTGGGAAGTTGGACCGGATGCTTGAAAAACAGCTGAAAATTGTAGCTGGTGTCCATAGCCTCATTGCAGGTAACATTTGATACAGACTTAAGCACGGAAGTTGTCGTTGTTGTACAATCTAATAACTGGAGCTAATGCCTGAATCTGGAATTCAACTAACAGAAACTGAGAGTGGACAATGGTAGATTAGAATCAAAATGAGCTGCTGGGCTGGCAAGCAGAACGAGATTATTGCACTCTAAGGTCAGTAAAGCAGCTTGAAAAGCAAGAAGATAATATGACACCACCTGTGTTTCCACAGTCATTGCCCTTGTGAGATTCACCCACCTTTTTGAAACAGTTTTAAAATAGGGTCTTTTACACATAACATTACTGTAATATAGTACTAGTAACACTATAACGCAAATGATCAAATCTATAGCATTGTTGTTACAATGCTTTTGTCTTTTATTTAAACAAAATTATAGCCAGAAAATAATTACATTATTTATTTTTTAAAAAAACAATTGTTATAAAACGATACTCGTCATGAAGATTATAGCAAATGTGTGCCAAACTTCACATTATAGCAGCATTTAAGAAGAATGAGTTCCAAATAATCACCCTGCCACTACACAGTTATGGACGGCTTAAATATGGCATTATATTCATTCTTCTTACAAGCAACTTTACAAACATTTCCCTCTTTCCAGCAGTTATATTACATGCACTGGTGTGGAGGGGACAGAGTAGGATGTATACACAGAAAAAGCACAACATAATAGTATGGAAAGTCGGAGGTCTGCTTGTTTTAGGTGGCAATGGAAGAGTGGTAATTGGGTAGCCCCAGGAGCCACCTATCTGGAAGCAGCCCAAGAGGGTGAATTAGAGGCAAACTGCATGCAGGATCAGACCTGTCCATGAGTAAGATGCTACAGGCCAAAGTGGGAGAGGAACGTTAGCAGAACCATTGGCATGCTATACTTAGCTCGCTTTGCCTCTTGACGATTGGGAGACGTTTCACTTTTGGAAGCAATGATCATTTATTTGTTTCCAAGATTCACAACTAATTTTCCTTTCAAAGGAAGGCTAATACTTCAGTCTTATATATAATATATATATTACTGCTAATATACTTACTCTCTCTATATAAGATTGCAAGTGTGGTATAACATATGATATTTTAAAAGACCAGGTTGGAAATCTGATAATTGTAATCACTTCTTACCTTTTTAACAAGAAAGCCTTCCTTTAAGGTGCCGCTCCCTTCTTCCATGCTTAGCTGGTAGCCAGTTGATGGATATGCCTGCCGGGAAGCTCACAAGTAGCTGCTCACAACACCTATTCCTTTGTGTCTGAAGTTTAAAAAGGTAGACTGACTTTCTTAACCACCTCCTTGCCTGTGACGTATTCCTTCCTGCCCTGCCCAGGAGACAGTAAGCAAACACTGAGCTGGCACAGGGGGGAGCACCTGCCCTTAAGGGAATGTATAACACGGTAGAGTTTAACATGACCATGATATGAAAACACCACTTGTCCTATTGCTCTGACATGGAGTAAGCTCACGGAGTGACTCAGGTAATGTTATTCAGTCATCTAATTAAACCATTACAGGAAATAGTCTTCTGTAGGTGGAAGTCAAGAGCATAGTGACCAAAGCTCTCTGTGTAAGAATACCTAGCAAAAAAAATTATATAAAAGGTATTTTGCTATGCTTTAGGGGATTTTTTTAAAGCTCATGTAATAGTACCAGGAATCATGTCCAAAAATTTATTTTCCTGAAGATACGACTATTTGTATCAGAAGCATTAATGACAATACTGCCTTTTCTTCTTGGTTTTTCTTCTTTGTGAAGTGTCTATGACAAATACTTATCAAAGTTTTCTTTATATTTATATTTTTTAATCTAAGAAATATATCACTAAAATTTAAAAACTAACTTCTCTCTCTTGATGCTAGTTTTTAAATTTTAATGATAATTTCTTAGGTTTAAAATACGCATATACTGTACATGGAGAGAGAGTTTTAGGGTTCTCCTGATTCTGTCAATTTGCAAGTTCGTAGCCAGATCAACAACCGATAAGGCTGGAAGCCTAAGTCCCCTTTATGGGAATAAACCCTATTAAACACAATGGGATTTGTTTCAAGTCAAAAGGCCTTGAATTCTGCTTTGGTAAGATTGCACTCCTAGATGCAGTTCTGGGATAAGCACAGTTGAGTTTAATGAAGCATACATCTGAGTTGATACAAATAGGATCATGCTGTAAGGCTGCTGTGTTGCAGAGCTGTAAAAGCTCCAACACGATGTACAATATAATCTGCATTCTTACCTGAAGGCAAATTCCTCAACTGGGAATAAGCTGAATTTGGTCAGACCTCTGACTTTGGTGGAATGTTGAGAGTGTTGGAGGAGGAGACCTGGATTCATGTCACTATGCTTCACAGAGTGGTTGTGAAGATAAAATGAGGAAGATAGCTGACAGGAGGAAAGGTGGGCTGTAAAGATAACAAATAAAAATAAAGAGAAACATATAGACAGCACTATAAAGAGATCAATAGGAATGTTAAAGTGTTCTATGAAATCTTACTCCAGTTAAGAGTTTGGTGCCCAGTCACCATACAGGTATATAAATTAAACTTTATATGTCACTTTCCCAGCATTTTGCCAAAGAAACACTGTACTGCAATGTCTAAGATGCTACAAAACCAGAAAACCTCAGGTTCAAATCTCACTTCTTCCATTAATTCATTAGGTGACCATAAGCTAACCACTATTTATCGCATCACTGGAATGATGATGCAGATTCTCAGAATTATTTTGTTAAGGTTTACAGCTACTCCAGATGTGTAAAGCACTTTGAAAGTCAAAAGTGCTATTTATATATTTTTATTAATTATTAATTTTCCAGATTTTCTCATTTCTTTTATGTAAATTTGACATTTGTAAAGGGATAAAGGTCAGTAACTACATGTTTCCTGTATATATTTCAAATTAAAACATGACAATATGGGTTTGCTCTTTTGTTTTTATGAAAAAAAGTGAAATAACCCACTAATCTTCAAATGACTTGGGTCTACTGTAGACTCAAAGCTCCAAAGACCTACTGATGCTGCAGACAGACATGTTTTGATTGAGCAGCTGCTGTGGAAGCACATGGAATGTTGATATACACATGAAATATATCGTTGTGTAGGACCTTCTTCACTGACTTCAGGATCAGGGACATCGCTATGCACATAGTACTGCCACAGCAGTAATATATAAGAGGAAGCCCTGGATTACAGAGATCCCTGTGCACCCTGATATTTTATGAAGCCATGGGTCAGGTCAAAAACCTTTAAGACTGAGACAGAATTTAGAACAAATTACTTGTTTGGAGAGCAACTCCCAGTGTTGTGTTTGGTCTGTCATTTGTAGTCCAAAAAGGTACCCTCTTCAACCTCTGGATCAAAGTGCCTGGCATATTTGCCCTACTCATTGTGTGGCTTCCTGGTTTTCTCAGTCACGAGGTAGGAGAAAAGAAGTTGCTTTATCCATTCAAAACACTTGACTTAAAACAACATGCCTAGAGATCAGAATGTAGAGAAGAAAGAATTCATGGCTTGTTGTTAACACTCCAGTAAATACCTCCTGATATCCCACTGCAGATAACAATCTCTGGACTCTTACAAGTGATTGTGAGTCAGGGCAGGAAGCATTAGTCACCAGACTACTGTTCCCTCCTACCATCCAAGCTGTGTGTACAGTTGTTATTGTGAAGTGGGAGGAAGAGAAAATAATTGGCACTTGTTTTAACTGTATAAAACACTGGCACATTTGTTCATGAGATCTCATCCTAATAACGTGCCTCCTGTTTCACAAATAGTTGAATTAGTCCTAGAAACATATACTTTTACTGGTCATAATTCTTGAACCCACATTACCATGGAGTTGCACTAGGTAACGCTTTATCTTCAGGCAAGCTTTTCCTTAATGACTGGTGGTCTGAGAGGGGTTTTAAATAGTCTGTTGTGCTCTGTTGTTTCAAATGTGTTTTAATATTGATCTTAGTTACCATTTTAATATAGTACTTGCTTAATTATTTTTTAATATTTGTGTATTTACTGTTTTAGCTTTTAAATACTGTTTTAGTAATATAAACCACCTTGGGTCCTTTTGGGGAGAAAAGCGGGATAGAAATATTTTAAATAAATACAGTGGTGCCTCGCACAACGAGTGCACCGTAGAGCGATGAATTCGCTCTACGAGGCCGGTTTTGCGATCGCAAATGCGATCGCACACCGATGCCTGCATAGGGCGAAAATCGCAGAGCGAAGGGGGGTAAGCGGTTTGCTTACCGACCTTCGCTTTGCGACCCGCCGATCAGCTGTTTGGCGGCTACAAAATGGCCGCCGGAAGCCTCAAAATGGCTGTGCGCGTTTTCGTGCCCTCGTTAAGCGAGGGGAGGGCACGAAAATGGCTGCGGGCCATTGCAAAACATCGCTGAACGGTGAGTAAATCAGCCGATTGGAACGCATTAAACGAAGTGGGCTTTTCTGCCCCGTTCAGCGATGTTTTCACACAGCGAGGGTTAATCCGGAACGGATTAACCTCGCTGTGCGAGGCACCACTGTACATACATAAACAAACACTTGGAATCCTTTCCAGCTGAACAGTTCTGAGGATCTAGGGTGGAATTATCAGAATGTTTTCAAGAGAGGCACAGCAGCAAGTGATGCTTCTCTCACCCCAGCCCAGGTACACAGTATCCAAAACCAGCCATTTTATTTTGGTGCTTGCAGCAAAACAATCTACAAGCTTTGCTCCCTTTCTGGACAGTGAAACTGTAAACTTAAGGGACGGAATAACTACTACGTATTTGCTACCCTTTCATGACATGCAAAATCTGGAGCCTGAGACAGCCGTCTTGCCCTGCCCTATAGTAAGACCAGACCTGGTGGAAGGTAGAAGTGACTGTAAAATGAATGTGTCTCCTAAAGTGGTAAAATAATCAGGTTCCTTTGCTTTCTAAACAACAATCATGCTGTAAAGTTGAGGAAACAATTATGAAAAGCCACCATTACTTGTTTTCTCTAGAAATTAAACTATGGAGCAAAATCTTTTGTTTAAAGTTAAAGGCTAGATGACCGGGCTTTCAAGCCACTAGCTGCCTATTCCTGTTGTAGATCAAGGCAGACTCTAATATGAGAAATAACAAACAACATCCGGAACTTATTCCTATAAGAACTGAGCTTTTTCTAACAGTTAAAGGGAGCACAGATATTTAAAATTTTGAATGGCAGGCAAAGCAAAGGTACTAAAACCTGTCCTAAGGTTGCCTCTGGGAGAATCCAACACCTCCTTACTTCAGAAAAACAAAACAAACCAACAACAACAACAAAAACAAAAACACAAAACAAAACCCTAAAATTAGAAAACTGCTGCTGGAGTCTGGAGTCAATTGCTGAGGACTAATGATGAGTTAAAGCTTGTAGGCAACCAACTGCATCACCTTGCTTCTTATACCTTGTCAGCAAAGTTTTGATACGGTGGGAGGTCCTGAGATAAACAGAGATGTGTGGAATGAGAGTGAGGGAAGTGTAGTGGAGGGTTGAGACTGAAAAGGCTGAGCGCTGAACAGTGACTTAGTTTTAATTTACTATTGGAATGTACTGAGTCTACAACTTAGAAACACTTGTAGGGTCTCCTTTGAGGGCGACACATGGCTGTTACGGTAATTTAAAATTGAAAAAGCTGCAAAAGGCATTGTGCCACAATGTAGATGCCTACCAATACTTTATTGGTGTTTCCATTCAAAGCCCTAAACAGTATAGGGCCTTGCTACTTGTTTCAGCCTCTCTCCCTCAGAATGACCTCCTGCCCCAACTGAACCTCCCAATCCATGATGTTAAGGGTGGCCACCCTGAGGGAGGCCCTGAAACCAACAACTTGGATCCAGGTCTTCTCAGTGGTGGCTGCCTCATTGTGGAACTCCCTCTGGTTAGGCCGATTTGAATCAATGGAACTGACAGTGGAATTGTCTCATGAAATCCCCATTGATTCAATGGATCTACCCTGGTGGAATTTACTATGATAAGCAACAGGATTTGGTCCATATTATGTACATGCAGATACATTTATTTCCCCCTAAAGGTGCATGCATCCACTCACATATATGCACATTCAGACGTGCATATCTGATAGTAGTATGTTTCATCAGAATTGCCAGTCCTTATGCCACCATGACACAGTGCAGGGATAAATTACCCTGTATCAGAGGTGTCTAGCTCAATTTCATCTTGGGCCGCACCGGCATTATGGTTACCCTCAAAGGGCTGGTTGTATCTGTAAGACTAAATACAGTAAATGTAAGAACGGGAGTGGGCAATAGTCAGGACTACATTTCCCAAGGTGCTGTATGCTGCCCAAGCAGCTGCACTTTCTTCGCTGCTTGGAATGCTGGGATTAGAAGTCCTACTGTGCAGTTTCCCAGCATCCTTGTGGAGCATTATGGGTGCCTGCATACTGTATACTGCACAATAGCAGGAAACACTGTGAGGGCTATGTGAAACAGCCCAGCGGGCCGGATTCATCCTGTGGGCCTCGAGTTTGACATGTGTCCTATATACAGCAGAACCCCCATATCTGTAGGATCAGTATCCACAGTTTATCAAGCCCTACATACAAGGGGTGGGCTTTATGGCTTTTGTTCCACCTCCTTGTATGTTGTATTTAGGGTTCGCTAATACAGTATCTGCAGTTTCAGACGGTCATGGTAGATCATGGAAGAGATTCCCAATGTATATGGAGGCCATCCTGTATTACGATAACATTTTGATACACACCTGAGTGCAGTATTTATTATCAATCAGACTGATAGAGCTAGAAGGCAAGATTTTAATGTCAGCAGTGCTTAATCTGTTTTCACAAGATTTTCTCAGTTTAGGGATAAACATAACTGCATGTGGTAAAAGACAGGTAGGGACTTGAATAGGTGTAAGGCTCAGCTCAGACAGTCGGGTCACGATCTGAGAAACAAGACATAGCTGCAAGGTTTTTCAGAAAAATTTCCCTCTAGTCCATGAGATTTCCCCAAGACACAAAGCACACTTTTGCAGCTATATCAGTTTTATTTTTAAATAGAAATAGAGAATTATTAAGTAGTTACAGCCCTTCACAGTTACTAGTAAGGATGATGATGATCACGTGCCATCAAATCAATTCTGACTTATGGCAACCCTTTTCAAGGTTTTCCAGAAGTGGCATACCATTCCCTTCTTCTGGGGGTGCCCTGGGACTGTGCAACTTGCCCAAGGCCACAGTCTGGCTCTACCCGTAGGAAGCACAATGAGGAATCTAACTCCCAACTTCTGGCTCTGCAACCAGATACCTAAACCACTGAGCTATCCAGCCAACTCACAGTATACAGTGACTAGTGGATAGAAATAAGCAGGAGACATTTTTTGTTTTCTATACCAGAAATTTTGAAGGTATTTTTCCCAGTGATATCCCCCTGCCCCCAACTTATTAGGACTGAGTAAGCATGCAAGTGCAGATGGAAACTCTTGGGATTTGTCCTTACCACGCCAGCAGCTGCTGTGAAACTGTAACACCCGGATATAGCCTCTGAAGTTTGTAAATGTACTCAACCCTATACCTGCACAGATCTTATAGACATGTATTCTGACCAACAGAGGCATTCCAGAGACATTTAGACAACCACCGGTCATTTGATTTGTATTCCTGTACTGAACAAGGGGTTGGACTCGATGGCCTTATAAACCCCTTCCAACTTCATGATTCTATATTATTCTGCCACAGAGTAAAAGCTAATATTTAATATTTGTGTTAAATTATAACAACTTGGTATTTTAACAAATGTGAGGATTCCTTCTCTGTTCAAAATACAGCAGCATCATAAACGTATGTAATTCAAGGGATCAAATATATACTATGGTAAATCATCCCTCTCTGTAATATTCTTTAACAAGCATGCATCTGTGTATACAAACACCATTTCCAATAAAAAATTGGCTGAAATCCTGTTATTTCATGCAGTAAGTTGTAATGAGAGGCCCATTGAATCAATTGAACTTCCAGAGATGACTTACCAATTTCCCTCTGATTACTCTAGTTGTGACTTATTACACTAAGCAACAGGATTTTAACTACTGTGTAGTAAGCGCTTTACCCTTACCCTGTCCAATGATCTCCACCTTGGTCCCACTGTGTTGCCGATGCAGCTACCTTGTCTTCCTCTTGTGCACAAGGCAATGAGCCTCGTGGCTAATCCATTTCCTAGCCTGTGCTTGATCTCAGTGGGACTTCATAAAGGGCAGTAGAATCTTCCATGAGCAACACTGAAACAGGAAAACCAGAACTCTCCTCCAAGCCCTTAACTTGACAGGACCAAGAGACAAGGAATCCTCAAAACATATTTGGAGCTCATAAAAGTTTGTGAAGATTTCCAGTCCTTAAACTTAATCGGTCAGCAATTTGTGAATTTTTGAATGTACACACGGAACATCCCTTCCCAAGTAAATAAAATAGATGAATTATATTGTATTTTATTCCAACTCTTCACCCTGGATCAGCTTGCAGGAAGTCTTCCCTACAGGTAGGTCACTAGGCTGCTTCAATTCAGATATAGAACTGCTTCCACATGCAGTCAGATCACTTCCTCTAAATCAAACATTTATTTGTGTCTTATATTTTCTTTTTAAGAAATGCTTGTAAAATATTAAAAACCTAACCTTTTTGTTTAAAGAACAGAATCAGGCAATTTGCACACAATACAGTATAGTATTTGGAAACAATTCAGGCAAGTAATCTGGATTTCCTGGGTGAGTACTTGAAGTAAAAATAAGAACATATACTATTGTGTAATAATTCTATTTAACACATGTTATTTGAAGAAATAAAATGTTTGTTCAAATTGTATTTTTAACAGAAAAAAGTTGACCATTAATTTGGTAATTTGCAAGTGCCACCAGTATATGGTCTCCCTCTGTATGAAAAATAACATGGAAGCAGATCAAACAAAATTCCCCTTTATGATGGTTATAATGGACAGCTTTATACACACACCAGCCAATTCAATATTGTGAAGGTTTTGTGGAAGAAATGGGGCATGATGGAATAAATAGGGGGAAGATTCACCAGTAGAGTAAATTTTTATAGCAAGGATGGATGCATAAGATGCACAAATGGCTCTGTGAGCTTATTCTGGCAATTCAGTCTAATAACTTCTATTTCCAAACAAATCAGTCAGCTTAAGGTTTATCTTGCCCGAGATAAAAAGTTAAAGCCTTCATCTCAAGGATTTGGCACCATACTGCATGTCCACAATGTAATAAAAGCCTTAACCTGTGACAGGAAATTAGTTATTATTCCGTCTTCCATATGTGTGTGTGTGTGTGTGTGTGTGTGTGTCTGTGTGTCAGAATAAGAACAAATTCTTTGTACTAATAGAAGGAACAAATACACCAATCAGACACAGAATTTAGTGGTTAACAATATACATATTGATATCTTTAAGACCCATAAAGTCCTTCTATGCTTCAAGACTCTCTTAAGAATGTGAAAAAGATTCAATGAAACCTAGATAAATATCCAAGAAATTTATTGAATATTTGCTTGAGTAGCCTGCGAAGCAATATTGGTCAGAGTCCTAAAAATCTCACCGACATATCGAATAGTTGCCAGTTTCAATTTGTTAGATATGAGATTATAGACAGCCGTCACACTTTATTGGTGGGGCGGGGGAGGGGAATTAACTCTTCAGTCAGAGGCACCTTCCCACGGAGATTTAAAAAAAACACCACTGCAGGAGATTGTTTCTTATCTCTTCAAAACTTGGTCTCATTAAAACTTGAAACATTTCAAGTCTTTTCTTCTGAGGTTTTCAATAACAGACTCTCAATCAAATTTGTTTTCACCAGTTTGGCATATAGATGTGTAACAGCCATCCTATACTTTCAATTCCAAGCATTCTAGTCTTCAGTTTTTGCCTCCATCTCCTCAGCATCATCATCTCCATCCACTTCAGCATTCTCACGCTCCAACCTTTCCAGCTGTCTTGCAAGCTCAGTCTCATCAGTGTCAGTGACAACTTTGGGCTGAAAAGTTTAAAAAAAGAAAACCAAAAAACCACACACACACAGAAACAAAAAACAAACAAAAAATCCTGTTAACTTTTACTGTGATTCAGAAACTACTGAAGCAAATACACTTAGATCAGAAATGGCTTTGCACAATTGGAATTAATGCACTTCCTATATCCAAACGTTGAGGACAGTGGATGAATCAACATGCTGGGGTCAGACTAGCACATTATGTTGCACCTTTTGCAATGGCAGTCATTGGAAGTTGGTGCTATTGTTAGAGAACAATTGCTAATTATGTACCGTATATTTTAGGGTTAATTTTAAAATGATTTATAACCCTCCAAACAATTTAATTAGATTACAAGATCCTTGAGAAAAGAACTACTGATATCTGCAAAAGGTATGTCAGATTCTTGAACTTATAGGGCCCAGTTGGATATAAAACAAATAAATTGCTCTTGTTTTCTCTACAAGAAAGGGCAGGAAAACAAAAATATAAAGGATCATATACTGAGATTTAATTATTTACTAAAGGTAAGGCAAATAAAGTACAGTGGTGCCTCGCTTAACGATGTTAATTGGTTCCAAAACCACATCGCTATGGGAAAACATCGTTAAGCGAAACGCGTTTTCTCATAGAGATGTATTGAAAACCGGTTAATCCGTTCCAATAGGCACAGATTGCCGTCCTTAAGCGAAAAAAACCATAGGAAACATCGTTAAGCGATACAATGTTTCCTCCATTGGAATGCACTGAAGCCTATTCAATGCATTTCAATGGTTTTGCGATGTCCATTTTTGCAAATTTAAGTGTGTCTTAAAAGGTTGAAAAACTGTTTTAAATGCTTGGAATCGTTAGTGCACCTTCTAAAATGGGCGCAAATTAGTGCACCTTCTAAAACATGCGCAAACGTAATTTGGCTTTGAACTGACTTTTCGTTAATTTTTGGTGAATTTTTTTCTCCCCCATAGGAAACAATGGAGCCCAACAAAAAATTAACGAAGACTCAGAACAAAGCCAAACTAAGTTTGCACACGATTTAGAAGGTGCTTTAACGAACCCAAGCATTTAAAACAGTTGCTGACTTTTCGTTAGTTTTTTGTGAATTTTTTCCTCCCCCATTGAAATGCATTGAGCCCAACTTTTGACAGCTTTCAAAAGTTGGTTTCAATGCTTTCCTATGGGGGAGAAAAAAATTCACCAAAAATTAACGAAAAGTCAGTTCAAAGCCAAATTACGTTTGCGCATGTTTTAGAAGGTGCACTAACGATTCCAAGCATTTAAAACATTTTTGAACATTTAAGACACTTTTAAAATTGAAAAAAAGGACATCGTTAAGCGAAACAGGGGACCTAAAAATGCATTCGCTATGCGAAGCATGGTCCCGAAATCGCTAATGTAAATCGCCCATAGGAAACATTGTTAAATGACGTATAGAATTCTTTTTAAAAAACCATCGTTAAGCGAAAACATTGCTAAACGAGGCAATCGTTAAGCGAGGCACCACTGTAAACCAAACTCTGTTTCATGATTCCTGGCTTTGGATATTTTCTATCACAGAACTGGTAGCACTCATTCTTCAATTAAGGCATACGTTCTGATTTCCAGAAAGGAGAATGGGACTGGGAAGAGAACAGTGAAGGACACTTCAAAAAGATTAAGGTACTTTTGTATTGGCTAGATTAGCTGTCCCGACTTGACATACTGCAAATACTTTTTTGTTTACTTAAAATATTTTACCCTGCCTTTCTTCTTAAAAAGGATCCAAGGTGGCTTAGATAATTAAAAAGGCAATTTTTAAAAGTGAAAACTTTAAATATACAAATATTGAAAAAGAATTAAGTATTATACTAAAACCAGTAAAGAAAATCAATAATAAAAATATATTCTAAAGCAGCAAGGCACAACAATCCATTTAAAAAATCCCTCTCAGACAGTTAGTTACTAAGGGAAAGACTGCCTGAAGAGAAAGGTCTTCTTCACCTGCCTGTGGATGGACAGCAAAGATGGGGCCAGCCTGGCCTCCCATGGGAGGGAGTTCTAGAGTCTGAGAGCAGCATCAGAGAAAGCCTTCTCCCATGTCCCCATCAAATGTACCTGCTTTAGACAATGATTCTCATCATTCCTGATAACTGGCCATGTTGGCTTGCAATGATAAGTATACCAGATTGGGGAAGACCGACCACAGTATATAAGAAAATATCCAATGAATACTATTAAATGGATTTCTCTCACAAGAAAAACAAGCATTGTAGGCTAACACAATCAATCCAATATGCACCTGGGATGGGATGCTCGGTTATGAAAGTTCTAGTTCTGCTGAAATAAATCTTGGGACTGAATTTCCAATGGCAGGCAAGCATGTTGACTTATGATTTTACGGCAATTTTACTGATAAATATGTATAATTTTTAGTATCTTCTGAGAGTGAAGACTTAATATTAATTTTGGGTGGACAGCATTTCTGTTTGTAGCAGCATGCTTTCCACCACAATGTGCCCTTCTGCTTTTATGCAATGAAGAGTCAGGAACAGCTGCAACTTCACTAGAGCAGGGAGTGCAGCACTCCCTGCTGGTCTAAAACAGTAACTGGCCAGGCACAGAATGTATCCTTTCTATCTTGCAAACCTCTTTAAAATTTATTTCCTGATCTTCAGAGCTCCCACGTTGCCAAGTAATGGGATGGGAGCAGAAAAATGGGAGAGGAGAGTTTGCTCTGATCGTTAAATGAGTAGCGGTAATGTTCTGAGTAATGAGCACTAACATTCAACTAATGCAGAGCATAGTTTTCCCAGAGAAAATGAAAATCTCTAAGGAGAAAGATTTCTCAGCACCCATGTCTACAGTTAAGCATTAGATGGTATACAGATGCACAAGGAAGATGCTAAAGATTCCATTCAGTGGCACATAAGGGGACTGCAAGTTGAGCAATTGGATCCCCCTACCCCCAGTACCTCTTCAAGAGAAACTCTTTCAGGAAATCTGCCTGCCCCATGGCTCTGGAGCACATGTGGGGCACACACAAGGGTCTAAAGGAGGAAGAAGAGTCTGTTCCATCAGCAGTGCCTGTTCTACAGTACTGGCAGACAGATACAAGAGTGAATCTTGAAACACGAGGTATCTAGCAAGGTTAATTTGAATGAGTGGGTTCACTGGCCCCCTCCCCTCCCTTTCTCTTCCCTAAACTTCTGTCAGTTCCCAAATTGACAAAGCAGCATTAACTGCTTTTTAAAATTCTCTCCGCCCAACAGGACATAAAGTCTTCTGGTTCTGTGGTCCCATTGCAAGCATGTAGCTCACACCTTCTCCAATTAGTACTTGCTTGGCCTGGCAAGTAGGGCTCATGAGGAAAAGGAGCACAACCCTATTCAAATTCACAGTGTGCAAAACACATGCTGGAAAACGCATCTACAAATCCAGTTTCCTACTAAATGAAAAAATAAAACTCTTTTCTGTATGCTTGAGCAGTGGTTCTTAACCTTGGGTTACACAGGTGTTTTTGGACTGCAACTCCCAGAAGCCTTCACCACCAGCTGTGCTGGCTGGGGTTTCTGGGAGTTGCAGTTCAAAAGCACCTGAGTAACCACTGTGCTTGAGCATCTAGTTTTCCACTGAGTGGGAAAAATGAAGAAAGCTAGAAACCCCTCATAGTCACCATGGGAGATCCACCATGCACACATCTGTGGAAGCAAACATGCCACTAGGACCCCCCAGGATTAGGACAACAAACAGTACTTACTTCCATCTGTACATTGAAGACACCTCTCTTCTCTTCAATTTTTTCTTTAATGACTGCCATGGCTTGGCTGAGCACAGAAAGGCCTTCAGTTCTCTCCAGTGTTGTAGTGGTCATCACATACCGTGGAGGAGCTATCAGATTTATCTACCAAGGGGAGAGACAGCATGAAATTTGATTTTGTAAATCCTGGGGGGAGAGGTTGACTCAACATGCTGTTAATGGTTGGTTAAACCAGTGGTTCTTAACCTTTGTTACTCGGATGCTTTTGAACTGCAACTCCCAGAAACCCCAGTCAGGACAGCTGGTGGTGAAGGCTTCTGGGAGTTGCAGTCCAAAACTCCTGAGTAACCCAAGGTTAAGAACCAGTGGGTTAAACTGCATTCTGTTAATTCTTCAGCCTTTGCAGAGGGTGACTGCACTATGCATGGAAAATGATTAAGTTGTGAGTAAAGGAATAGCTCTGCTTAATTTCCTTTATTAAGGAAGCATCCTTCCACATTCCTAAAAATGCACATATAAGAGATACAATACTAGATAAACTAGATACAGTAATTTCTATACATCTGCCTCCCTTCCTGTCTTCTGAATCTATCAATGAGGATGGGAACTACAATCACATGATGGTATCCTCCTATGTCCAATTTTGTTAAAGACACTGGAATAATTTAATCTTCCAAGTTTTCTAGAAGGCACTACAATAACAAATGACACTTACTTTGATGGGCATGCTCTCCGTAGAACAACTCAGGCCTGCTCTCAAAGCTTCTTTCACTGCATCAATTCCCTCATAGCCATAACAGGCAACTTCAATATCTAGAGGGTTACAGTTATTATTAAATTATTTATACATATAAAAAACAATTTTTATGGAGATCCTATAAATTAAGAACTCTCATTTATTTTATTAGTACACAATTCTAAATGGTTCAACAACATTGTACTTGGTAAATACCAGCAAACACTGGCACAGAGAAAGAGCTAACATTATGTTTTAAACTCATCTCTGTTCTCTTTTTCTTATTAATAGGACACATGTAAACACTAAAATATTGTCTCAAATGGAAATGTGTTCCACTTAGATCTGATGATGCCATCTGTACAGTAACAGGAACCCTCTCCCCAAAGCAGAGCACATACAGAAATTCCCACATTCTCATTCTTCTTTGAATCCCTATGTAGCCCACTTGGTATTTTGCTTCCAGAAGAGATCAAAGGGGTGCTCACTGCTGGGGTGTTTTCTAACAACTGTTATCTCTTACCACCCAGTGCCTCTGGACTGTCCCAACCTGTATCATTTTCCCACCTCCTCTACTTATCTTTCCTTTGGTCTCTCCTTTTCTTTTCTTTTTTAACGGCTGGCCTGAGTCAACTGCTTTCTTTCCTCTAGTATGCTTTCGATCTTCAATTTATGACATCTGCATTCAGTTCTCCTTATTCAAAACAATGGAGTCTGAATAAAAGGGACTTTCCTTCCTACCATTTCAGACTTCTTCAAAATCAAAGCAACCAAGCTGTCAACATTATGTTACTCTAATGGTAACATAACCTGTCCTGCCCCCAAGGGTTTTTTCTCCTGACATTACATGTCACTTTCCAGCAAACCTGTAATTTTTTTAATTTTTTTATTAAGACTCATTATTTATCTCTCTAAACAGGAGAAACATTTTAAAAAAATTCCACAGGGGAAGGTGATGGAGAACGAACTCAGAAATACGATAAAAAGTATCTGCTACCTATTAATCAAAAATAGTACTCAAAATTATTTTAAGATAAACTTACAATTTTATTCAGCAAGATATATGGGATCAGTTTCTGTAAAACTGCAGTGGTGTTGCTTATCCTAAATGAATAAGACCTATTTCTCTAGCCAGTTCAGTTTTGGGGACTCACCTGCTCTAATTTTGACTGCTTGTGGTGTCAATCGCCTATTGATATTGTCAATTAGGACACGCTTCTCATCTTCTGTCAGATCCAGTCCATCAAGAATTGAAGGATCCCTAGGTAAAATAACCATAAACCTATCAGCATTCATTAAAATTTACATAACAGGAACAGCAAGGACCAGTGCTGAAATATTATAACCTCTCAGAAGTATAGATAGGCTGTACAGGAACAACAAAAGATACAGCTATGGTTAGAACACAGGGAACAGAGAAGATTTATATGCTGCTTTGTTTTTCATTCATCTGTGTAAACTCTCCCTCCTTTCTCTAGTTAGTATAGAGTATGGTATGTTATCACATCCACACCATTACTAACATGGGATTAGTATCAGTAGAGACACAATGCTAAGCCTTTGCTAACACAGATAAAGGAAGAATTTGGCTGGGTAGAGTTCATCAAGTTGCCTTCCAGTCTCTGAGCTGTATCAAAATGAATGGAGGAGTTGCATCTACTGGTTATTGTGGGTTTTTTTTCAGGCTCTTTGGTCGTGTTATGAAGGTTGTTCTTCCTAACGTTTTGCCAGTCTCTGAGGACAGAAATCAGAACTCTGTGCTCTGGTGCAGTTTGTTTGGATAGTTGAGTATTTATAGCTCTGGGATCAGCTTTTGTTCTTTTCAGGAGATGGGTGATTGCAGTGATCAGCGTATTTTTTGTTGTGGGTGTATTGTTGTGACAAGAGGGAGAGATTATCTGTCACTGTGATTGATGTTTCATTAGCTGGTCTTTTGTGTGCAGTGTAGCTGGGTGCAGTTCAAATTCAGATAAATCAGATAATCTCCTGAAAAGGACAAAAGCTGATCCCACAGTTATAAATAATCAACTATCCAAACAAACTGCACCAGAGCACAGAGTTCTAACTCCTGTCCTCTGAAGATGCCAGCCACAGAGACTGGCGAAACGTTAGAACAACCTTCAGAACACGGCCAAAGAGCCCAAAAAACCCACAACCGCCAGATCCCAGCCATGAAAGCCTTCGAGAATACAGTTGCATCTATGTTGGGCCCTGCAAGTCACCCAAGTGATAATTCAGCTTAAGAGATCAAAAACACAAATCTATTCCTAAGCAAATTACTCTCCATTTAAGGTGTTAAATTCATATAAACAAACCTTACAGGCCATTATAGTCTAATATAATTTCTTTAGTTTATCACAGTTGTTAAGAATGACTAAGGCTGGGTTCTAAATTAGATAATAAGCCTTATCCTGATTGTCCCTGTTCAAACTGCAGGTTAGGGTTCACATGACTGAGTGAACTCTGATATGAAGAAAAAAAATCAATTCCAGCAAAACTAGTTATCATGGTGGAAGATTCATGTTTGGCCTTCTCATGGATGTGCTTTTGTATGGAGCATTTCTTCAGTAGCAATGACTGTGAAAGAAGTGACTTGAAAGTGCTCTTGGAGGATATTCAAAATATTAAACTCTCTTCGTTTGAAAACTTACTGAAGTTTGAACACTGAACATAGGCAGCTTTGTTTAAGAAATTCAAGTTCAGACAGAGGGCTGGGTCAATGAAGAACAAACTGAGACTCAGAAGAACGGGCTCCCACTAGCATCTCTCATACTCTCCTGGAGTCTTCTCAGATAGTTGCATTTCAAATACAAGGGAAGGAGGAATTATTATGATTATTTATTATTATTATTTATTAAATTTATACCCTGCCCCTCTAGACCATGTCTACTCGGGGCGGCTTACAGCATAAAATTTTTCAGAATTGAAAAATATTGTCTCACACTCTCCTCCAGCATGGAGCACCCACCTGCACAATTCTGGAATCAACCTAAGATACTTGGTAAGTTATATCTATGCATAAATAAAACATTGCTATTGCTAAATCTCATTAAATTTTTTAAGGGACAGATGGACTACAAACAGGACAGGATACTTACGAAACTGCATGTTTGAAGGCATCATATGCTCCATATCCAGGCCTTTTGTACTTGTCATCAAATACCCAAGCTGTTCTCTGGAACAGGCTCTCCAGCTGTTCTTCTTTTGTGTATTCCAAAACTTCAGCAACATGGCGAAGAATGCTGTAAACCTAGATACAATTGACAAAATAAGCCAGATAAGGATGCAATGAATACATTACAGTGGGGTCTCTACTTAAGAACGTCTCTACTTAAGAACAATCCAACTTAAGAACAGCTCCATTTGCTAAATTTTGCTTCTACTTGAGAACAGAAATCCAAGATAAGAACAGGAAAAAAAACCTTTCCTGCTCTTTTTTTAACCTTAGGTCATCTTAGGTTAAAAAAATTCTCCCCCTAGTGGTAGAGTACGTATTAACCAGCTTTGCATTAGTTCCTATGGGAACTAATGCTTCAATGTACGAACACACCTCTACATAACAAAAAAACAGCCAGAACAGATTAATTGGTTTTCAGTCCATTCCTATGGGAAATTTTGCTTCAACTTAAAAACGTTTCAACTTAAGAACACCATTCCAAAATGGATTAAGTTCTTAAGTAAAGGTTCCACTGCAGTTTCTATGGACAGAAAAGAGCAGATACAGATTAAATGGTTGTCAATGCATTCCTATGGGAAATGCAGATTCAACATAAGAACTTTTCAACTTGAGAACCACCTTTCAATACGGATTAAGTTCTTAAGTAGAGACCCCACTGTACTAGAATCCTATCATGGCACTGATTTAAATAAAAATATATAAAATAATAACCAACAAATATTTATGACACCCATTCTACAGATGACTAAACATCTGTACAATTATTTGCTTAATTACACTATATATACTTGTGTTTCTTCTCACTTACTAGTTATGTTAACTTGGCATACAGCAAGAAATAGAAGTTCTGACTTCTTAACTGGCAGCAATTCACTGCCGAGATTTACACTGCTGGATTTATGCTGGCATACGCAAGTACTAGGATTCTGGCTAGCTATCAAGGAATCTCTAAAACTGACAAAAACTTAATTGGAATTAAAAAATAACATATGTTTCTCCTAAAAGGCAATGGAGAGAGGATCGTGTTTCTGGAAGATAGTTCCAAAATCACAGAAGAACCCTTGTCCTTAATACTCAACCATTTACTAATGCCTGATAAAGTAAGAAGAGACACAGAAACTGATTGCAAATCTCTGGCAGAATGAAAGCTTAGACTAATACCTGCAAGTGCTAAACATACTCTAATTCTGTTTTACAGGCTGTGCTGGTGACATTTTAGCATAAATGTATCTTAAACGTTTTAGCAGAGTGCCTCTTAATGTATTCCTTTTTTGCTAATATGAGACACACATCTACCAGAACCTATTTCCATTTCACTGTCCTGTAAATTAGGAGAAAAGATAGTATGAAAAACTTGCCGTTTTTGATTTGGTGAATTTATCTTCACATTTAATTGCCTCTTCTGGAGAAACTCTTCTTTTTGACAAGTCAATATAACCTAATACAAAAATCAAAATTTTAGTACAGATTTAGAATTGAATGCAAATTCTAAACCTTCCACTTTCTCACTCACAAATAATGAAAGATCTGTCCACTTCAGGAAGTAAATACATATGCTGTTCCAAAAAGAAACTGACAAACTATCAACTTCTACAAACCTTATACGCCATTATGGTCTATTTCTCATTATCATTCATTCTTATATACATACCCAACAAACTTCTAAATTATGATACCAAATCTGAGCTGAAAACAACCATGCATGTATAAGTGTTGGTGGCAGAGACATACAAACGAGATTTTATTTGCTCTGCTTTTGTTGTTGTTGTTCATTCCAGTACAGCAGGGGTCTCCAAACATTTCACTGTGAGGGCCACATAATATATTTTTCACGTTTTTGAGGACCAAAGGAATACAACACGCCCCTCCCCTGGCCAGATAAAAAAGCAAGGTGGACCGGATGTGGGCCATGGGCCATACTTTGGAGACCCCTGCAGTAGAGCCCCCAGTGCCTCTCAATCAACTACAGATGACTCTAGAATGGCATGTGATAAGGGGTAGCAGGAGGAAAGAAAATGGGGAGAAATTGAACAAGCTGAACAGCCTTCTATTCAAATAAGACAGTTCTGCATCCCACTCTTAGAATTCAAATTGATAATTTTTAAATTCAACTCACCTTTCTCTTTATCAACCCTTATGACAACAACACATTCATTTCTTCCAATTCGAATGAGTTTGTTTATTGAACGGATACGTCTCCTGGATAACTCACTGAGTAGAATCATGCCCTCAATATTGTTATATTCCAGAAGGCTAACGTAAGCTCCCATTTCTGCAATGGACCGGACATTCACCATGACCACATCTTCTACTTCTGGAAATTTATGCTGGTAAAATCTACAACTTAGCCCAGGCATCCTGCAATATTGGATTACAAAGACAGAAATATGTATTCATTATATAAAAGCCACAACTATTCATAAAATTCAAAATGGGAATTTCATGTACACATGAAAAATAAGAATGACTGGCTAGCAGGTGGAAAAAACTCACAAAACAAACAAGTTCAACTACAATAATAACCAGTTATTATAGCTATTGAATGCTATGGGTCAGCCAAAAGTGTCTGGAAAAAAATTTGAAATGAGATATACTAGTTGTTATGGTGGTGGTGGTGTCAGAAAAAAAGGGGAAAAAAACTAACAGCAAACCTAGCTCACTACATGTACAAATGCACTGATGCTATTTTCTGCTACCAAGATTTGGCAGAGTGTGATGACTGAAAGCAGAAGCTGAGAAGTCCTTAATGGAAGCTTCATCTTATCCATCAACTCATCAGAAGAGCTTTTTCAGCCTAAGGCTCAAACTTGCAACAACAACCTAATTTTTGCAGCTGCATACAGAATTACAGAAAAAAACATGCAATATACTTTGAACACCAAAAACAAATGGATACTTCTTAGCATAACTCTCACACATAACTCTGTCATCTTAATCTGAAATTATTAGGAAGTCAAGCAACACCACAGAGATCTTATTACCGTTACAGTTTCTCTTGTTTAGCCTTCAAAGTGTTTATGGCTTGCTGTGGAGCTGCAAAATACTCATTATAGCATTTTGAGATTGTTTCTCTATGATCTTGACCCGTGAGGACAATGGTTTTAGCCAGGAATCCAATACTTGATACTGATTTTGAAAACAAATGATGTGACCTGCCTTAAGGATTGTCTAACTCTGTGATTCCCAACCTTGGACTCCAATGACACTAGCTGTGTTGGCTGGGGTTTCTGGGAGTTACAATCCAAGAATACATGGGTTACCCAAGTTGGAAAATACTAGTCCAATCCATTAAATGCTGCAGACCAAAAGAAGGCTTCTACTTCCAACTTTTAATGAGAAAAATTATGTTTACAGTCAGCCAAGTTTTACAATTTTTTGACCAAACTCCAGGAGGCAGTGGAAGACAGGAGGGCCTGGTGTGCTCTGGTCCATGGGGTCACAAAGAGTCAGACACAACTCAATGACTAAACAATAACAAAGTTTTAAATTTACAAAAAAACATTAAGATGTTTCAGAAATGTGTTTGGAAAGTTTTTAAAAAAGCTTAGTGGATAACTTAGAATACTGGCTTGATTTTCCCTAAGAAAAAAAATAATAATGTGAGCTATTTCCTTTCTATTAGATACCTTTTTTCAATATCTTAGAAAATGCAGGGGCCATAAATTATCCTAATTGTGCCAAATTGACTGATTTTACTTCTATTAGAATATCTGGTATATATTCCCAAAATAAATATCCTCAAAGCTATTCATAAACCTTAAAAAATATGATTAAAGTAGGAGGATGTAATGTAAGGCCCTCATCTATCTCATGTATCAACAATCTACTAACTAATTTGCCTTGTCTTTTTGAGGCAATCTTTTACCTTGTGGCTTTTTGATCCTGACTTTGACAAAGCTAAAGGCAGAAATATTTGTGCTCCAATATAAAAAGCCACACAAGTACAGTATTATTGTCAGTGACTGAAGCTAATGTTGACAATCTTCTTGTAATACAGAGTGAACAGTTTATGGACAGAGAGTAGCACAGCCACCAAGTGCTGGCAGGTTTTCCAGCTCTTCCCTTTTTTGTCATCCTTCATCATCTACCTCAGCTGCCTGGATGGCTCAGTGAATGGAAGCATCTGCTTGTGCAGCAGGGGTTGGAGGTTCTATTCCCCATCATGTCTTGTGGGAGTCAACATATGTGGCCTTGGGCAAGCTACATGATTCCAGAGTGCCCATAGAAGAAGAGGGCAATTAAACTAATTTGGAGTACTTTATATCTAGGAAATTCTGGAAAGGTCTGCCATAAATCAGAACTGACCTGACAGCATGTAATTACAGTGGAGCCTCGCTTAGCGATTGCTTCGTTTAACAATGAAATCGCTTAGCGATGACTTTTTCAGAGTGATCTTGCACTCCGTTTAACGATGGTTCCTATGGGCGATTTTCGCATAGTGATGTTTGGGACCATGCTTCGCATAGCGATGACAGTTTGGGTCCCCCTGTTTCGCTTAATGATGGTTTTGACAGCCTTATGTTTGTTGTTTTTTAAATGTTTAAAAATGTTTAAAAATGTTTAGAATGCTTGAAATCATAAGTGTACTTAATAAACCCTTTGTTAAACTAATTTGACTTTGTTCTCTTTTTAAATTTGTTGTAATTTTTCCCCCCATTGAGATGCATTGAATAGGTTTCAATGCATTTCAATTGGGGAACCGTGTTTCGCTCAGTGATGTTTCCTATGGCGAGTTTCGTTTAAGGACAGCAATCTGTTCCCATTGGAACAGATTATCCGGTTTTCAATGCATTTCTATGGGAAACCGTGTTTCGCTTAGCGATGAAATCGCTTAACAGCTATTTTTTGGGAACCAATTATCGTTAAGCGAGGCACCACTGTAATTCATTATCATTTACATCACAGCTTGAGAATGCTTTGGCGCTCCATATGGTTTGAACGACATCTGCTGCAGTCCCCTTCCACTGGCTCTAATAGTGAGGGTTTTTCAGGAGTTAAAGTTGAAAGTGGTTCCCCTTCCATGCCCTGCCCCTTTCCGCCACTCAACCTGAGGAAGTGAGAGCACGAAAGCTTGCCCACTTCTGTAGCATTCCAAGATCCTACTCAACTGTGGTTTGTGTACGGAAACTGGCTCGGAAATCTTCCACAGGCCCTTAGGCCCCTTCCGAGGGAAAGAAATCGTTGTCCCAGGGGTAGAGAATAACCGTGGCCCTCATTCGCTTCACCAACAAAAGAGAAGACCTACCAGGCGCGCCAATTTGGAGAACGCCTCCTGGAAGAGCCTTTCTCCCTCTCGGTGCCTTGGGCCGACATGATTAGCTACTGCATCGGTGCCGTTTGCTAAGCGACCTTTCTGGTCGCCCCTTGATTTACCGGTGCTTCTTCTCCACCACCACCACCCCGGTCCCCTACGGCACCACACGCGTCTGTGACGAAACGCAACCCAAGTGGAAAGGATGAGGCGCGGGAGCCCTTTTTGTGACATAACGCCTCCTAACTCAGCTAAGAGAGAGGCGAGCGAGACCTCACGGGAAGAGGCGGCCAAGGCCACGCTTTCCGCACCATGACGCGAAGGAAGGCGGCCGGGCTCGAAACACTCCACACAGGCGGGGCAGCTCCGGCTGCGAGTTGCTGGGCGCGCCTGGCGCGTCTTCGACATGGCGAACGCCAGCCGCTTCTCCTCTCCCTCCCTCCGCCCGAAGCTCCGCATCCGGATTCACGCCCGGCTTCGGAGAGGGTCCGGAGCCTCCCCAGTATACGTGACACGTTTGCGAGACCCGGTCGGCGCCCTATTGACCGCCTTACCTGTCTTCTTCGCAGGCCCCTCTCGCGACGCACCAGACTGGGGGTCTCCCGACTGAGTGTACCTACCCGACTCTTGTCACAGCGTGTACTCCAACTCAAAGTGCGCAGCCGCCATCCCGCCTCTTCCTGCTAGACTACGGCCGGAAGTACTTCCACAGTAAGGGCGCTCTGTGGCATCCATAGAGTTTTTTTTTTTTTGGTGGGTGGGAAAGGCTTGTTTTCTGGCTAGTTCATCCTAGACCGGGAGGTTTGCGATATGTTCGCATGAATTTTGCTTCCCTCGAGTAGATTGGAGAGCCGTTCTTTGAAAACAAGAAATCCCGGGATTTAACCGTAGCTAGCAGAAGCAGGAGTTTATGCTGTTAAGAATAATTAACCCCCCACAACCACTCATAAGTAGCTGTTAGCGTATGGCAGTTCATCTAAATACTACAGGTTGTGGGATTGTGTGGTTAAGAAAGGTTTATAATAAGCCCTGCAATATTGTAAATTGCCAGTGGAGTTAAAGTTAACCTGGATGCCTAATTAAATTGTTGTTTTTAATCTGTTTGTGTACAATATATTGTAAGCCGCCCTGAGTAGACTCCTTCCTCTAGAAGGGCGGGATAAGAATCCA